TATATGATTGGATAAGGTGCTCTCTCTTTCTCTCTCTCTCTCTTTTGGATTAGCAATTCCAATCTAAGGTGGGCGATGATCGGTTGCTGGTGCGAGCCCCACCTTAGTCCACAGTCATGCCCAGGATCACTTAGGACCATAGGCCACCTGTATCGTTCCTGCTTACAGCTTGAGATATTTTGGAATGCGGGTGAGCAGTGGTCCCGATTCGCCTGGAAAATCGGTGGGAACCGACTCGACCGGTCCGGTTTTAGACCGGTTCTTTAGGCATTTGTTGAACTTAGAAATGAGTTCAATTGTTCCTTCTTTAGTCTCTCTTCGCCCCCGCCCCGGAACTGACCCACAGCACAACGCCTATCCACTTCGCAAGCTAGGCAGTGTAGTAAAGCATCAATACCGATTCATTTATAAATGTATGAATCTATTCATAGAAAAACAAAACTCGGGATAAGTGCGTTCAAAGTCCTAAAACTTATCACAAAAGTGCAATTGAGTCCTAAAACTTTCAAAAATTGCAAACAAGTCTTAAAACTTGTCACGAAAGTGCACTTGAGTCCTAAAACTTTCAAAAAGTGCAAACAAGTCCTAAAACTTGTCACGAAAGTGCAAACAAGTCTTAAAACTTGTCAAATTGATTCAATCAAGTCCTTCCATTGATTGTATTTTTTTGAAAGTTTTAGACTTGTTTACACTTTTGTGACAAGTTTTAGGATTTGTTTACACTTTCGTGATAAATTTTAGGACTTATTTGCACTTTTTGAAAGTTTTAGGACTCAAGTGCACTTTCGTGACAAGTTTTAAGACTTGTTTGCACTTTTTGAAAGTTTTAGGACTCAATTGCACTTTTATGATAAGTTTTAAGACTTCGTGCACATATCCCAAAAAACTCTTTCTTTTGTATAGCAAGTTGAGTGGTGTGTGAGCCAATTTTCACACATCTCAATAGGGTCATCTCCCCCGGTGATCTTGAGGACGCATTTCTCCACGCCCGTCTGGTGCAGTCAAGATTTTACCACCGAGGAACTCGCACAAGGCTTGAACCCAAATTATACAAAGATGAGCAAACTCTCTTGCCTTCTAGGTTAATGCCTTGTTAACAACTGTGCCTTTTTATTTGATATGCTGTTAATGTATTTAAGTAATCTTCTATCCGGATAGTTCACAGATAAACGACTTGGAGTATATGACCTGACCAATCAATGCAAAAATACTTTCAATACTTTATTTTTTGTTGGGAAGCACGCAATATAATTCCAATACTTTCACTTGGGGAGCTCGTTAAGAGGAGGCCCAAGTCTGAGCTCGTCAACAAATCTAGTTTGACTCATAATTACTTAAAAATTTAAGCCGATGAGTTATGAGTTAATTAAGATATATTAACTTCTATCACGTGCATCCTAATACTCTCCTATTTACGTGTGAGCAGTATTAGGTCTGCTCCCCCATAATCTAGGTATCTTCCCGTATCAAGATATCTCAACTTGAATCTCCATCAATGCCCAACTTCATCTCTCATCTCTTTCTCCAGACTGAATCATGAAGTCTGCCATCGGGCCCGCGTTGCTACACCACAACACCCACGCTCGGAAACCGCGTTAATCACTAGATTCCTTCTTTGAGATATTTACCAAACACCAGGTCCACTGATCTATAACCTGGCTTTGAAACCATTTGTTGGGAAGATTGCAACAGAAGGCTGATACCTTCACTCGGGAGATCGCTAAGAGGGAGCTCCAGTCCGAGGCCGTTAACATATTCAGTTGGATTCACATTCACTTAAAAGCTTAAATCAATGAATTATGAGCCAATTAAGATATATTAACTGCTCACACGTGCATCCTAACATTTTTGTTGTATATTTCAAACATCACACTTTATCAGTATGATGGGGGTGCCAAGAATTGGCCTAAGCTAGAAATACTATTCTAGTACTGGTTTGATAAACAAATTTTTAGGAAAATAAAAAGAGCAATCCTAAACTCAATTTGTTTCTTTGAAAAATTCTTTCACTCGCTATTCTATCAAGATATATAGCTTGGTGTGCATTTTACATGGAAACATCTGTTGAATGGCACCAATTTTCTATTTACCTTTCACTCCACATTTCTTCATTCATTTGGGCTTTGATTTAGTTATTTAGGTATCTAGTTAATTACTTCACTATTTGAAATTGCAAAATGGGGGTTGTTTTTGGGAGAGGAATTGTCCCGAATCGGTTGGTTCTAAATCTGAATAGTCACGAAATTAGGCGGTTCCCATTCGAGTTTCAACCTTGGATTCCCCGGACACATTACCCTTAATTTAAAGTGCAAGGGAAGAACAGCCACTAATGTCTTGGATACATACATACATAAATACACACACACCCACGTGTGTGTGTGTGCATATATATATAAGCAATAGTCATCCATTGCAATTACGTGTTGCCTCATATTGAAAAACTGAAAATGGGAAATCAAATTACTAAATAAAGCTTTTCAATATCTACATACACACACATTAGACTTTTGAACACTAAATGGATTAATGAGAAAAGCCTTTTGTTTTACAAATAAGAGTTAAGGTTTTCTTTTTCCAGAAAAGTATGAATTTAAGAAAAAATATCTTGAAATACAAATCTAGATACACATATCTAACTTCATACATGAGATAGTACTGTTACATAGCCGGAAGAAATACTTTGAAATATGATTTACATAGCTGGACACTAAACCCCTGAGAATGGATATAATTTGGATATGTCCAGATATTACACAAGCAATACGAGTGCTGCTTCGTCGACCATCACCACCTCCAACGATAGCATTCGCCGGTCACCGCGCGAGGACCAAGACCAAGACAGTAGATCGTCGCCTCCCACCACTACGCGAGGACCACCACTTGCGGCTGTTCGGGGTTGTGTTGCCCGACCGGAGCTTCTCCATGGTTCCTCCTCTCCCCCCCTTCACACCTCTTCTCTTCACTTTCTTCATCTTAGCCTTTCCTCTCTCCTCTGGATTTCTTGCTTTCCCATCACTACCACTCACCACCTCTGGAAACCTCATCCAGAGAGACAGATCTCCATTGCCGACTAGAGAAGCATAATGGAGGTCAAATGCCGGGGGACAAGTTCCTGGTGGTGAAGCTCAGCTCCATTTCCTTGCTCACTCGCACCGAAGCTTTCTGCCAGCTCCATCTCAACACCAAGCATGACCCAACTCTTGCCCCCTCATCGCCGATGCGGGTGCCATGGCCTACTTGTTCGAGGCCATCTACTCTTCCTCTCCCGATGCCCAGGAGAACACCGCTGCCACGCTTCTCAGTTTTCCATCATCGCCAAGGAGGCCAGGATGCCCACTCACGGCCTCTTCAACGCTCTCTCCCACATCCTTGGCCACCATGGCTCCGCCTCCACCCCGAACGCTACGCCCAGTCGTGGCACAGTTCACAGGGTGCGGAGAGAGCGAAGAGGCCTTCCGCGAGGTGTCATGAGTCGGGGTTTTGGCAGATTTTTTGGACTTTGCGACAGTCTCAAGCATGATATTTTGAATTCTATCCTAGATACACCAAACATATGAAGGAATCTTCCACAATTTGGAACTCCACCTTATCCTATCCCATCTAGATCCGTGTTCGGATCATTAAACTCAGCCTAAGTGGATTTATTTTGGATTGACCTACATGCAGAAACATTCATGCAACATTTTTTTAATAGAAGGAAAAGAGAATGGTAGGTACAGAAGTTTACCCTCACGAAAGATTCTTACAGAATATTATTTTCCGCAATTGCGGCCATATGAATGTGGACTACCTCAGCTGTACAAATATAATGATGTCATTTTACATGGCTTGCCTCGCAGACATAGAACAAGTGCATCAGAAGTTGCTCTCATTATGTGCCAGTTGCTTTGGATAATATTGCAGTCGCAGAGCTAGAAACCACAATCTCTCTCTGCAGTCGCGGAGCTAGTAACCACAATCTCTCTCTCTCTCTCTCTCTCTCTCTCTCTCTATGGTGACAAAGTTCCACAATTGTCAGCAGTTTTCTCTTTTCTGGGTTAAAAGGTCTTGCTTTCTATTAATCCTCTTACATATTTAGAAAAACTCTGATTTATCGTCAGTCTTGATATCTAATAGTTACGGTTTTGGCACAAATAGTTGCCTATTAACACGGTAGTGAAGCATAAGGGTTCAAATCATGATGCATTTCTTCTGTGCCTGGCTTTATGTCCATTTTCCTCAATTGTCGGTCGCGATTTTTTTGGTATGACTTGTTCCCACATGATAGAAATACCAGGGAATTACTCGACAGGCCCTTTGTATGACCACTCTTTCATTTGGAAACCATGCAGTCATATTCATCTGCTGGCCCAACTTCCAGGTAAGATTAACAGCTTCGGAAGATTAAAGTGAGGAATTTAAATGGGGTACCAATTCATAGAATCACTCACTTTCTTGTGCTTGGTCAATATCACCTGTCCCTTTTGATCAATTACTTTCTTTAAAATGTTAACGGATGCTCTTTCTGAAGCATGTTAATTCTTTAGACATGTGTGTTCAGCAACATGCTCATCTTTTTACAGACAAAAACTTAAGCAGACGAAGTTGGAATCTACTGGTTAAATCTGCCATCAATTCTTGCAGCCCACGAACCCAATTTGACACAAAAATGAGGAAACTTTTGTGGCAAATCCATTTGCTCCGTCAAGGGTTTTCGAGTGCTTTTCATCTTTCTCGTGTTTGTAGTGCTTGAACAGTGTACTCATGCATTTCTCTCCCTTACCTGCGGTCATCGAAAGACTGATCGATGACAGAAATTTATATCTCTACCTCTTTTCTCGTCCAATTTCAGCTTTGTTTGTCTCGCAAGAACCCAGATTTGATCATATACCTTGTGCAGATGATAATATACTAGAGTAATATTCCATAATGCAAAATGTTTGTACATTGCTACACAAAATTACATGGTGATCCATCGTTTATTGTGGTCATGAGATACGGCATTTCAGTGAAACAGCATATGATAAACAAGCAATAACATAAGTATTTATTTACTAGTATTGTAAATTTGTTTATCCTAACATATTACTCTTTAACTATACTGCTTAAGACACGGCGTATCCTGTTGGTTCAGGTATCAATCCGATGAAAGTGCAGAAAAACTCGTACATCAAAGACAACATGAATTTCTGCATTACAACAGAACACAAGGAAACTAAGAGAGAGACTTTGGACAGTGAGCAGAGATCATGGGTCGCGAACTCGGAATATATTAGGGTGCTTGACAACGATGTCGTACATGTGGATGGAGTTGAACTTGGAGAAGTCTTTAGGGAGAGAGATGAGATCGATGGAAGATTGCTTGTGGAACTGCAAGAGGTCGGGGTCTCCACCAGAGTACTGCTCCCATCCGAGGCCCCTCAGGATTCGCTCAAGCGACGAGTAAGATGAGACGACCTCACCTGTCGGCAAGTGCACCAAGGCCGTCCTCCGCCCAGTGCCACCGTGCACATTCGCCTGTGGGTTCTCAAGGCGGATCACACCTTTCTGGAAATTCCAAACTCCCGACATTTTCAAAGTAACCGAATAGGGAGGGTATATCTAATGATTCAAGGAAAAGGCTTACTGAGTTTTCAACCTCTTTTCTTGTGGTGATTAGTGGGAGGAAGAAGAAGAGGAAGTTCTTGTTGAGCTGTGGGGGTGAGAGCAAGGAAGGTAGCGAGCAGGGTTTATATACTAGCAACGAGACTAATAGAAACAAAGGGAAAATTCAATACTCTGAGCTAGAGCGGACTAGTGAAGAAGGATAATGATGTATATGTTTTGGATTTTGGGTATGGAATCAAGGTATTGTGGGACCCAGATTGGGGTCCTAGCTTTACGGGGCACAAGGGGATGACATGGTGATTTGGGGGCGCAACCCAAACGAGCAGAATCTCCCTCATGTTTGGGCGTGTGAGCTTTTGATTTTGCTTGTCAGTGGGGGAATCTTGGGACAATTCCACGGTGTTCTATGTTAAATAGGTTGTGGTAACACCCCCACATACACATCACGAGATGTCCACGTGAAGGTCTGGGGTCTGAGGCATCTCTCCAAGGTGTTGGTGGGTTTGGCAACTGAAAGCGCCAACTTAGGGAGGGATTCACTTTAGGTGGTGTGACTCATCATTTGCTACAAAAGATGAAACCTTAAAGGTGGTATTAGTCCTTTACTAGTCAAATCATGTGAAAGCTCTTGGGCTCGTGTGGCTCCAAGGGCTATTGGCTTCTCACCCAGAAAAATCCACAGAGAAAAGAAAAAACCAAGAGAAGAGAGCTGTTCTGCAGACCTTATCCTAAAAGAAGTTATTAATTAGCTTAGCCTTGATTAAAATTATATTGACAAGGTTAACGAAGGGATTCGAGACTTTGACTATAGTGTTGACGTATCGGACTAAGCTCACGAGTCACAAAGAATAACGATTTTAGCACGTGATTGCGGAAAATTTGTAGGACGAGAAGTAATTTGCAACAATTTAAGCAGCACATACCTTTATAGATCCAATAAAATCAAGACAAGGGAAAGAACAACCCTGGATTTTAATAAGGAAACTTAATAGGATCTGGATAAGGTTTAGAGAGGAAAAAGGATATGATGGTTCAATAAAGAAGCTTTAAATCATACACTGAGGCTGACTAGAAGAGATTTATATTGTCCTTGAATGCTTCAAACATGTGGGAGCCAGCAAATTTTCCTGCCTTTCTTTACAGATCCGTTCAATTAATTGCAGCTTTGGAGAGCTAAACAACCGAGTCAGTCAGGTCAGATGAACATCTGGTATCACGGGCAGCTTAATCAATCATTGGTGAGGGGCATGGACATCAAGATCTTGTTCCTAATTATAGGTATTTTTTTTTTTTGGTCAGCCTAATTATAGGTATGATGGGAGTTCAAGTGACTGATAATTGGATAGCTCCCAAACTGTAGTCTACCAATCACCCACCAACCTCCAAAGTTCTATTGATAATATCTGAGTCAATTTCAGAAATAATTGAGTCGGAATGTACCACTGTCAAAATGGACCACCAAGTCTAATCTCTCTCTCTCTCTCTCTCTCTCTCTCTGGTTACAAGTCTTGACTCCAAATCTATTTGCCTTAGAAATGCAATGTTGCCCACATGGCATCACATGGGATACATGGTCCTCCACCTAGACAGCCAAGGCCATTTTTCCCAGCAAGTCTTGTCCATACCATGATTAGCATGACCTCTGTCCTTTGATTGCTTACTTTTGACTTTGTCAATTAGGGAGAGAGAGAGAAAGGGCCTTTCCACTTGCATTGCGGCTCCACAGTATCTTAACTTTCTTTCATTTCTAACAGCCACTTCCCTCCAATGTTCTTTATTATTTTAAATTCGATTTGTTTCGTAAAAAATAAATTTTATTGAAAAATATTTCCTAAAGAAAATGATATGCTTTTCTTGTATTTGGTTGCCCTCTACCAAAAAAGACGGCAATATTTTCCCATATTTATTATTAAAGAGGTATGAAAATACACTTTGAGAAAAAGAGGACTTGATTAGAGTATGGTCCTGAGACCCTAATGCTAGCTCCAGGTCCACAGCTAGGGTGAGCATAATTCAAGGATAGAATCGAGAATTGGACCGGTAGGAACCGGTTCGGTTCTAGGCTTTGGTGAGACCCGGTCCGATTCCTGATTCCACATTTTTAGGAACCTTCAATTCTCGGTTACCGGAGAAACGGGAACCAGATCAAAGAAAATGGAATCCCATATTTGTATGTCCATAAAATAAACTTGCACCATTATTGTATATAAATATCAGGTAAAACCCTCAAATTTTAAGAACTCATGAAAAACGAATCTAGATCAGTGCAACATAGTCGAGCAATTATAAGAGTCTGAATGAACCATTAGGATATTGCTAGACCCACCAAGATTACTGGTGTCCAGAGTGCTACAACTGCTTCATAATTGTTTTTGGCTGCATCCATAACAGAAAAATTAACAAGGAACGACAGATTCAATAGAAAATCAAGAAGCACAGTTATATATAGGCAGCACCGTTGGGGAAAAACTCATGCCATTCATACTTGATGCGAGTAATTAATGTTCGCTGTGTCCTTTGTTGGCTGCACCAAAGGCTTAATCTGTGGAGCACCAAAACAAATTATGAGAGGTCAAAATGCTAAAGAAGCAATCAAATATATATTGAGTCTAGAAGCAAGCATACAAGTAGAAAATGAACTTTGCTACCTGTACAAAGTAACTAAACGCGAACTTGGAACATAAAATGAGTGCCCAGATGAATGTGTACCTGAAACGAGGTATTGGTTTAAATAAACTCTTGATTACCTAATATTTTGGAGGAATTTTTCATGGATGATTGAAGACCGAAGTTTTATAATTTAGGTTTTATGTTACGTATTTTGGACTTTTTATTGTTTATTTTATTATACTTGTCATTTTTTTTTATGAATTGTTACTATTGACAAATGGGAAACTTTCATTCTTTTTGTTGCATTCTCTTTCATTTTGCTTAAGTAAAAATGAAAAAAGAAGAAGAAGAAATTAGCCGGTTCCCAAGTAGACCCTAGAACCTGTAAAAAGTTAGGTTCCAAGTTTAAAGGTATGCAGAGTATATTTTAGGTTCTAAAAAATGAGGAAATTGTTCTGATTGATAGGTTTCGGATTTCAGGTGGAATCTCGGTGGAATTTGGAATCAATTACTCCTATCCATAGCACCAAGATCATGTGCTTTGGTCATCGGACACCTGGGAGCAAGCGTCTAGCGTCCTAGTCCCAAGTGGCGGTGATTTGTGTCCGAGCACCTAGGGTTCCGATTAGCGTGTCGAGTTTGGGCGATGGGGACTTTTGTACTAGTAGCCCGGGACCTAGGTTCGGGTGCCTAGCGACTCAGGTTCTATGGTCAAGGCCCGAGTCCATTACCTAGACACCTCGATCCAATCACTTGACATGCATGGTCATGCGACAATGGAGGTCAAGTCGTACTCTAGACAATGATTTTTTATTCTTAAAAAAGGAAGTCAATTAATATAGATTTTTCATTAATCTATGAAGGTAATCTATTAAGTTATTTTCCTAAGCAATTTGAACGCCGAAAAATAAGGAAAATATTATTTCGACAGTTAATTTTCCCCGAAATAGACGAGGAGCTGTGATAGTTCCATGTATCTCGTTAGGTTGTCCTACAATAGCTAGGCCATCTAAATGGTGCCCTTTACGATATTGGATGCATGGGCCCTTCTTCATTTTACCTGATGACTGTCATTTTGAATTTGACATCTCGAGTTTGAACTAGAACTAATTTGGCCAGTCGAGGGCAATGTCGCGACTGATGATGAAGAGGATGGAATATCGGACTTGTTTCACTTTCACCCCCTTTTAATACTTTTTAAAACTCTAACTAATAAAAGGGAAGTAGTAACATTTCAACAATTTAATACTCACGTTCTTAGTTTAGGGGTATATCAATTAGATAGATGCATGCTCATGCATCTAGCTAGTCACATAAGTTTATGACTGAATTGCCATAGATATAATAAGTTTAGGACTTTTTTGATAATGATCCATCGAATTATGTTGCCTATTGCATTAGTTACGACATTTCAAATGATTCAAAAAATATAACCTTTATATTTAAGTCATTTTTTACATGACTTTTCAAACATTTAAAAGAGTACAACCTTTTAACCGTGGGTCAATTTTGGCACCGTTTAAGTTTTGTTTAAAAAAAATTACTGTCTAAATTCCCGCGTCGTTGGCGACATGCTTGCCATGTTATTTACTTTTTCTTTGTTAAGTTTCTCTATCTGTCCGATCAGAAATGAGTCAAATGTGAATAATTAGGAGAAGTACTTTATGATGAAAAAAGGGTACTTTCAAAACACTTCATACACGATTTCCTTGGTTAATTATGCAAAAGTGGAAACATTATGACTTTTCCTCGCCTATGTTTAGCCATTTAACCTAAAAAAGGAGGCGAATATTAAATGAACCTCGCATTGCTATGTCCCACCTATCCAAAAGAAAGAAAAAGAAAAAAAAACAGTCCAAATGGATCTGTGAATTTTTGGGATAATTATCCAAAAAATCATAAATCTATTGTACAACAGCCAATTTAGTTCTAAACCTTTCAATTGTGCCAATTTAGTCCTAAAATTTTGACAATTTGCTAAGTTAATCCTAAACATTTTAATGATTTGCCAATATAGTCATTCCGGGTAATTTTAGCTGAAAATCGCAGAGGAACTACATTGGCAAATCATTAAAATTGACACAATTGAAATATTTGGGATCGAATTGGCGGCCCTACAATATATTTATGACTTTTTGGATAAATTTCCCGTAAACTTTTCTTTTTTACAAAATTGATTCGTCTAAAGAATTATTCTCAACATAGATTCTCTCAAAATTATTTTCCAAACTAGATTTTTCACTGCCATATCATATGTCTAAGAGTTGCCTAGTCATCATCTCCTTATCCTGGTCGCTTTTACTTCCATTCTAAAATTTAAAAATATTTTTTGCAATTCTGCATAGTTTTTAGTCTCTAGAATTGATCCATAAAAAAAAATAGAACCAGAAAAGAAGTTGTACGCATTCATCCACCAAGTTTTAACTCAGTCATTTGTTACTCCACAAATCTAATCACTTAGTGAGTTTAAATTCCAAATATGGATAAAATGTATTTCAAAATACATTTTAAAATCAATATGCCCTATGTTGACTGTAATTATGAAAATTAGATTAAACTCTATAGGCTCCATTCGTTTCACAAAAAACAACTTCCAAAAAAACATTTTCCGGATTTTCCGGCATTTGTTTTGCGGAAAATAAATTAGTAATGGAAAATATTTTCCAACAATGGAAAAAAACACCTTCAAAAGTGAGGAAAATGTTTTCCGCTTTTTAAAAAGAAAAAATTTTCCATATCTTCTTTCACCTCATTTTCTTTCAACTAAAACATTTTTCCTTTATTTTTTTTAATTTTCTTTTATTTATTTATTTTTAAAAAGTTGAGTTTTTATTTTTTTTCCTTTTCTTCCTTTTTTTTTGTTTGCTTCTTCCTTTGCCGATTGGTAGCCACTGTGGCTGCCGGCGACCGGCCACAGGCGAGCTCGAGTCTCACCACAGGCCAGCAAGGCTCAATTCGAGCTTGCCAGATTCTGGTGATATCAAGCCTCGCTGGCTGTGGCAAGGTTGAGCTCGAGCCCCGCCATCTCTGGCAAGCTGGGCGAGGCTTGACCTCGCCAGGCCGGCGAGGCTCAAGCTCGCCTTTGGCCGGTCGTTGTTGTGGCCAACGACTGGCAAAGGAAGAAGAAAAAAAAAGGAAAAGGAAAAAATAATTTAATAATTAAAAATTAAAAAAAATATGAATTTTTTTTTAGTAATTTTCCCTAGAAAATCAAATTGGATATCGAACGGCGAAAAATATTTTTCAGTTCATTTTCAAGTCTCAGCCAATCACCGGAAAACATTTTTCGGAAACATCATATTTTCCACGAAACGAACGAAGCCTATATTTTTGTTAATATATATGGTTTTGCAGTTTGCATTTATGAATGGCTAAAAGTAAAATGAAACTGCTAGTAATAATAGAATTTAAAAATTAAATAACTAATTATATCTTATCTACAATAAAACTTTTATAATGGTAAGTATAACATTTTTTTCACTCAGCAAAATTGCTTTTGGAATATCAATTCACCTTTCTACGACAGAAAATAGTTTTCAGCATTGGCAAACTATTGTCACTTCATCGAAAGAGAAAAAAGAATTTAAAAATCGAGAAATGGTAAAGATCTATATGCTGCTTAAATATAACTTATCTATACAGTTTATATAAGTTTAATCTAAATAACAAAACGGGAAAGTCATTGTAATAATTCGAGGAGAGATAAAGTGGGAAAAAGTACAAAAAAAGTTACAAATCTATTGTACTTGTGTCAATTCAATCCTAAACCTTTCAATTGTGGCAATTTAGTCTTAAACCATTTCATGTTTTGCTAATTAAGGCCATCGGGCTAATTTAGGCCAGTCGTCCTATGTGGCATGACAGGCTGACGTGGACAATTTTTAATAAATTTTTAATAAATTTTTGATTTTTTATAATTCCTTTTCTTTTCTTTTTGGGGATTGAGGGTCGGCAAGGGTTGCCAGCTGACCCTCACCGGGTCTGGGTGTCGTGGCACCCTCACCTGGCCAAGATCTAGCGAGGGCATCACGGCCCTCGTCAGATCTAGGCGAGGGACCGCGAACCGTCGCTTTGGACAGCGAGGGCATCGAGCGAGGGCCGTGTCATTATGCAATGTAGGACCGCTACGTCAACATCAATGATTTCTAACCTAAATTGGTCAGATCGACACGATTGGTAAAATATGACAAAATCGACAAAATTGAAAGATTGATAACTGAATTACAATAAGCGTAGGACTTCTTTGACACGTTTTTCTTGCAAAAGTGATTAGGATTGGAAGAGTGATTACTAGGCAATAGGCAACATTCAGACGTGACGTGACATTGAGAAGTTTAGTTTGGGGAAAACTTCTCGTATAGATTTATTTTGAGAATTATTTGAGATCTATTTCGGAAAAAAGAAGAAGAAGAAGGTCTCTATCAAGGTGACCTCAATTGAAATAGAAAGTGGTGCCCAAATCGAATTTATTTCAATTTGGATTTTTGGTCCACCCTATTGGTCTCAAGAGATGAACCCACGTGGTAAGAAAGACATGAACTTCGGCCTAATACGTATAAAAGAGGCCGTATACATATCCAGGAATACTTCCAAATTCGCTCGATGTGATTGGGTCAGTTCTAGAGCCCTTCCATTAGCCAGTTTCGATAGCAATAATAGAAAGCTTCCTGAAAAAGCAAGGAAAAAATGTGGCTACCGACACCTTCCAATATTGCCAAAATTGTATGAAACCCCCCTGTGCTGCTAGAAACAAGTGGGACTCTTGGACCGGCAGGCAACTTTGCTTTGCTTTGTACATTGACAAATAATTGTTAAGTGGGATAAGGAAATTTGCTTGGAATCCTCCTCGGGGGTTCGCGTGCTTGGTTTGCACGTCAGAGGGTTTTTGAGATCACATGTTCGCATGTCACCGATTACGTCCAAATTGCTCTGCGTCATGGCTACCTGCACAAGTCGGGTTCGTACCGAACCGGCTCACAATGCTTACGGCTGTGTTCTCTATAAACTTGTATGTCCGTAACGTTAAAAAAATGAAATAAAGTTTCCCTAGAATCGAGCCATAAAATTTGTATTTCAAAAGCAAACAGCCATATCTATTAACCTTTAAGGTTGCGCTTATTTGTTTGTTTAGATATTTTCATCTGATAGGATAAGGCCATATAAGATAATGATATGATGGATTTATGATATTTTATGCAAGGTTTAGGATATCCAAAAGAGAAAATGATACAAACAGTCTCTGAACTTTAACCCAATGTGTAATTTGGTCCCTGAATTTTTAATTTATTCAATATAGTTCCTGAACTTTAGCCTGATATTCAATTTGGTCCATGAACTTTTAATTTGTTCAATGTGGTCCCTAAACTTTTAGTATGTGTTCAATTTAGTCCCTGGACTATTTAAAAATGTTCAATGTAGTCCTTCTATTAATTCAAGTGCAAAGACTACATTGAACATTTTCATATAGTTCATGGACTATATTGAACATGTGCTAAAAGTTCAGGGACCACATTGAACAGATTAAAAGTTCAAGGACCAAATTGAACATTAGGCTAAAGTTCAGGGACTACATTGAACAAATTAAAAGTTTAGGGACCAAATTACATATTGGGTCAAAGTTCAGGGACTGTTTGTGTCATTATCCCTATCCAAAATATATACTATTCGAGTGTGTGTTTAGTGTATATGGCCAACTCTGGATTACACGTAAAATTTGGTAAACAATTGCTGAAAGGTGTTCACCCTTCACTGCCCAGGCCTGCCATGACCAACTCTGATCGCACCGCCGCCGCCGCCGCCGCCTTGGGACGTAATCATTTTTCAAGACCGCCACCACCGGTTGAAAGACAGATCTCATATCTGTAGCATATCGAGAGAGAGAGAGAGTCACGAGACCACGTAGCGATGGCCGCGCGACCAACAACAACAGATCACAGCTTTACCTTCTACTGCTCGCTCCAGTCCAACCTCACTCTTTCTTTCACTGCACGCATTCTCTCTCTCTCTCTCTCTCTCTCTCGCTCGAGCACTGCCTGGATCCTTCTCAGTTTCCAATCTTTTGTTCTCTAACTCTAATACCCCACGCAAGATCTTCGTGCCTGCGAAGTATTGAGTTCAAAATCTCCCACTTCCATTAAGATGAGCGCGGAGGAGAGAGAGAGAGAGAGGGAGTGCCGGACGCCGATGCCGAGGCCGTGGAGGAGAGAGAGGTCGATGCCAGGGAAGATGATCAGTACAGCAAACCAAGAAAGAGGAAGATGAACAGTAAAAGGGAAGAAAAGAAAAAGAACAAGAGAAAGAAATCAGAAAAAAGAAGAAGCAAAACGACGTTATTTTGCAAATTTGTTCACGTCATATGCCGACTGTGTCACGTAGGATGGCCCGCGATAACGAGACATCTACATCAGCGATTTCCGATCTAAATTGACTAGATGGACTACAATGGAAAATCGTCAAAAGGTTTAAGACTACGTTAGTCAAATGGAAAATTTTAAGATTGAATTGGCATCCATATAATAAATTTAGAACTTTTTGGGTAATTTTCTTATTTCTCTCGCTACCTTTAATAACGTCACCGGCACCTGTCCAGTCCCATCGTTGATCACGAATTCAAACAGGTATCTAAATTTCAATATTTTTCAAGAACGTGAAACTCATTTGTCAATTTTTCTCAAGAGAATAAAAAGATATTGAAAGTAGAATTGCAAAATGCCAAAAGGCCACAAAAGCAAGTGTTAGTTTGCTTTTTGTTTAAGAATGCCTCACGCAAAATTTCTAACGTTTGTACCACGTTTGGGATGTTCCCTCAATCTCCATTGCGTGAAGACCCTTTCCTTGCATTTGTTCCCCCACTTCCAATGGTGAGAATTCTTGCCTTAAAAGAAGAGTGCATGTTCCAATAAAAATATTGCAATCTTTTTGTTTATTGAAGCAATTCATTTCTATAATTATTACAATAGAAAAAGTTGAGGACGAGTACCTTAAAGTGAGAAATTGAATATCGTGAGACGTCTTTTGATATGCACATGCACATTATTGGCAAGGTTGTCCAAATGAGCCACAAACCTATTTAAAGTTTTAGGACTCCCTCCCGGCACGGTATCTCTCCCCCGTTCGCCGGCGGCAACGCCGCCTTCCCGCCTCAACAAGTCCGACCCGGACTTGACATGCCTCTGGTATCTCGAATTTGACATGAATTCGACATGCCTCGACCCATGTAGGGCTTATGCTGATTAAACTTGAGGATTTTTTAACATCATGTGCTGTAAACCCAACTCAATTAAAGCTGAAATTATCTGATTTCAAGCTTGAAATTTATGCCCTCTTCCCCTTCAACCATGCTGGTCGAATTCGACTTGTTGTGCGAGCCAGGCCCGCGCGACTGATTCGGGTCCGTTTGCCACCGCCTGTCTAATGAAAATGCAACGAGGGAGACAAACAATATGCTCCTAAAAATTATATGATATGTAGTTTAATTTTAATATTTTTGTTTATGAATTAAAGATTATCCTTAATTTTTATGTAATTAATTCTTAAATGGTTAGGTAAAATTTATGTGTCAATATAGATTTGGATTAATCAATCAAGGAGCTCAATGTTTCCGCAAATTCACCTTTATTTTTAATATTTTCGCAATTTAAATACCTTGTTGTAATTTAAAATATCTCGCCCTTGATTAAATTTCGGTGTGTATCTTAATTGAGGTTTTCGGAACCTCATCGTTGATCAAATTTCGATGTTGTATTTTTGTTATTGCGCTTTGCCGTCGATCAAATTCCGGCGAAACTTTGGCGCATTCCACGTGTTCGCCACGTCAGCATTTCAGCGGAAATAACTCTTTTGGTTACATCTTCTTCTCATCCCCGCTCTCTCTTCCAAACGTAGCGCGACTCCGGCCGGCGAAAAGCTCCGAGCGCCACCGGTCCGGTGGGGACTGCGTCGTCGGTGACCAGAAGCCGCCGTCGCTCTGCAAATCAACCCCGAACCGCCGTGGATCGGAGCGCCGCGAAGAGACCCATCTCTCCCCCTCTCCGTTTCTGGCTCCGCCAAACCCTTCGAAGCACCGGAGCCCGACAGCCAATCGACCCGCCGGAGAGCCGGCCGGAGCCGGATCGCACGTCGCCGGGGATGAATCGGGAGGGGGCGGGCGACTGAGCTGACGGCGGTTCGCGTGGCATCCAGCGGAAGCTCCGGCTCAACTTCCAATGTGGGTCTTCCACCTGTAGCTCGGGGGCAGCTTCGGCTCGAAAGCTGCACTCGCTCTCAATCTCTCTTCACGTAAGTTGACTCTTTTACGAAGATGATGTAGGCTGGGGCGTTATCAGATTACATGTCTTGCCTGGAATGGATGAGATAGATATAATCAGATCGATGCCAAAGTGCTCTGATACTAGCTGAAGATCATAGGGCAGAAGGCAGTGAAGTCAATGGCATTTATAGTTCGCACATTTTGCTGTAGTTCCACTCACGAATGAGTTAGGCATACCCAGGTAGCTATAAATTGATGTCGATGATGGGTTCGGATACTGAAGATTTAACTTTCATGGTTGTGACAGTTCTGTATCTGCATTTCCTATGAACTGCCTAAAAGTGGGGATTGGGTGAAACATCAAGCTCTTCTGCTGCATTGGACTGCCAGGATATTAGACAAAGCCGGATAATTTTTTTTGCGTATTACGCGTTTCGAGAGGTCAATGGAGTGGGGCACAGTGGTAAGAAGGATATAGAGAGTTACTTATTATACTGGCATAAGGAGTGTGCCTACGCGTTTGGCTTCATTGCAGTGCCTTGAGCTTCCCCGCATCTTTTCTTGCCCTTTTTCTTAGGTTCAAGTTGCGAATTTGACTGCTTTTGTCGTCTTCCTTGACCCAAAGAACTATGTATTGGAGATGGAGAGTTGAAATTTCAGCATGGTGTATTCGTTTTGTAGTATATCCCTAAGTCTAGGTTATTCTTGGGGCTTCAAAATGCAAAAAAAGTCTTCATCCTTTGATCTTCACTGTTTTTCTTCAGTACATTTTTCCCCCTCTTTGCTATGAGCTCCGATACATTTAGATGTATGACTATGAATCTGTCCTAGTTCAACACTATTTAGCATTTTTGAGCCTGGCGTTTTAGAATCGTCTTGGTGGAAAAAAAAAGAAAGAGATAACCTGGCTATTACATTGTTAGTGTGGAAATCCTGAGGTCTTTCCAACCCAAGGTTTAAGTCTATGGAAGAACAATCCATTTGAAGTCAATTGTCAGATAACCAAAACCTTGGTCCCTTGAAAACCCCATATCCTAGGTATTGACAGGGAAATCACATACTACTACCTATGTATGTGAGACCATTGGTTTGCTTAAAAACCTTGGGGACTCCTAGATTTAAGGGTTCAGGTGCGCTTGGAGGAATGATTGTTTATTACCCACAATGCTTTTTCGAGACCATGTTCATTGGGTATTTGTGAGGCATGCAATTTGTTAAATGGTTTATGAAAATCTTTGGAAACTTTAACTGTTGAGAATTGTGAAATCTTGCCTGGTCTTTATTGATCCTTTGTTTTTCTTTGATCATGATATATTCCATTGTTTTATTACTTGGCTCCGAAAGAAGCCTCTCTTTTCCTTTCTCTCATAATTGGAAAAGTGAAAGTTAGTTAATGAGCAAAAGGTTAACGGTTCCTATCAAACGATTTTAGTTGCCATAAATATGAATAATTCCACTTTGATGGATAGCGAGGGCAAGAGACAAGGACGGATTTAGTGTCTTGGGGCACTTGCCCGCATTGAGCTCTTTCAAAGTTACCATGATAGATGGTTTTATTTATATGTATTTCTTGAATTTTTGTCATGTTGCCCCCTTGCGGCACATTCTTTTTCTTTAAGCAGGACTCCTAGTGGACTGTTATTTTCATTTGAAAATGTAAACTTAGACACTTAGCCCACCGGCCCCACCCACATCCTGAAGGAAAACTGTAAAATTCAAAATTCCGAATGCAAATATAGGGAAATTATGAGTCTGAAGAAAGCAGCCAAACTCTGGCACTTGACAGATTTTTTATTTTGAGTAATGGTTGGATACCGAAGTTATTTTACTAAAAGATGTGCACTCCCTAAATAATTGCTTAAGTTAGACCAATTTGATCATCTAATCGAATCTGTCACATAACTTTGTAAACCTATTTAAGAGACGGATTTTTAGTGTGTTTAACATTATTTGTCATGTTTTTACCTAAAAAATAGCAAAACTGTTGCAATGACGAGGGTTAAGAAGAAGACTAGGTTGAAGATAAATTTCGGTTCTTGACCTTTTGAGAGGTTCAGGCAAAAGAAAACCAGGGTTTCTTTTAGGTGCAGAGCAGCACTTAAGTTTTGTACTCTGTAGATATTTTGTTGACTCTCATCTTTGGTTTCAATGATTTTTTATTCCAAAATGGACTACTTTACATGAATATTACCTCTTGGTTTATTGAAAAGTACCTGTTTGAATGTTCTGTATGCTTCGTAAGTGAGGAATTATAAGAAATTTTGATTGATTGAACAGAGTTTTAATTGAATATCTTTCTTCTCATTTTAATTGCTTATAATTAGTGATTGCGATGTATAAACTCATGATTGAGTAACTTAGAACAAGGTCTTAGTCCAAAATCGAATTAATACCTTTAATGATGGCTATTCTTGAAAGACAATGTAATTTGGACACATATAAGATAGCTATTCTTTTTTCAATGTTAATGTGGTATAAACTTAATAAGTGTCTTTTTATATCCCTTAAGTTTTGCCCCCAAAATTATTTAAACCACATCTTTTAGAGTGGAAAATGTACATGTATTGGGGAAAAGAATGAAATGCTTGAACATGCATTTAATCTAACAATAGAGAGCGTTGGTATAGTCATGGAAGATCAGACTATAAATGTGCTTACACAAGCAAAAGTCAAATGGTATGTATTTATTTAAACTAAGAACAGAGAGTATAGGTGTTGTGGCATGAGTGACCAGGATATATGAGATTATATTAGCAAACTGAAAACCTATATATGTAGTTAAGTTACGATTAGAGGTAGCATGCACTTTGACATGATTGGTGGGCATGTAACCAAGCTTGATTTAAGCAAATTCGTTGACTCTAGTGTGTGAATGTGTTGGGTGATGAAGATTAAATCACGTGAGCATCTAAATAAGCTCAAATAAAGTGCTTATAGGGGTTTCTAGTGATGGTGGCGCTGTTGTTATGGAGAACAACATACTTGTGAGCTTGAACTTGAATCAAATATCGAGGTGCGAGCCACCGACTTATTTCCTACTTGAATTAGTGGCCACTTTTTTACTGAGTCATTGATATTTAACATTGTCATATTGTAGTATTCCAGATCTAGTCTGCCATGATCAATCAGGCTAATTTTTATCCAGTTGATTGACCTTCAGAACATTAACAATGTTTTCTGCACAGGTGACCTTGCCTTTGAGCTTGTATGCAAATGTTTCTCCAATACGTTTAAGATGGAAGAAGTTCATCTAAATAGTGAGCCTCTCTTTGATGATGGCAATGAATATGAGTTTGAGGAAGATGCGAATGCTATGGATGATGGAGGAGAAGTTAGTGCTGCACGACCAAAGAAAGGACATTCACCACCTACTGTGGGGTTGGAGTTTGATTCTTTTGATCAAGCTTACGATTTCTATAATATGTATGGAAAGGAACAGGGTTTTGGAATCAGAGTAAGCAATTCATGGTTTAGATCAAAGAGGAAAGAGCGTTATAGAGCAAAACTAAGCTGCAGTAGTGCAGGCTTCAAGAAAAAAAGTGAAGCCAACAACCCTAGGCCTGAAACAAGGACTGGATGCCCTGCAATGATAGTGATTAGGCTTGTGGACTCTGAAAGGTGGAGAATAGTTGAAGTTCAGCTTGAGCACAACCATAAGGTTAGTCCAGAAATCAAGCGCTTCTACAAGTCACATAAAAAGATGATTGTTGCTGCCAAAAAGGCACAACCACCATCAGAGCCTGTCACGCAGATGCATATCATAAAGTTGTATCGGCCAGCTGCTATCGATTCTGGATGTAATGGCTATTTGAGTATCGGTAGGGATGATGGAATCAATTCCGTTGATCATGCCAAACATTTGGAGCTTAAAGAGGGAGATGCCCACGCATTATATAACTACTTTTGTCGCATGAAGTTGACCAATCCAAATTTCTTTTATTTGATGGATATTGATGATGATGGGCGTTTGAGAAATGTGTTTTGGGCTGATGCCAGGTCTAGGGCTGAGTATGCTTACTTTTCAGACACGGTTGCTGTTGATTCCATGTGCTTGGCTAGCAAATTTGAGATTCCCTTGATATCCTTTATTGGCATCAATCATCATGGACAGTCAATTTTGTTGGGCTGTGGCTTTGTTGGACATGAATCAGTTGAGCATTATGTTTGGATATTTCGGGCATGGTTGAATTGCATGTTGGATCACCCTCCACAAGTTATATTTACAGACCAGTCCAAGGCCTTCCAAACTGCAATTTCTGAGGTATTTCCAAATGCTCATCATTGCTTTTGTGCATGGTATATCATGCAGAGAGTCCACGAAAAACTGGGAGGATTGAAGGGATATGAAGTAATTAAAAGACAGCTGAAGAGATCAATCTTTAATTCTTTGAAAATAGCTGAATTTGAAACTTCTTGGGCTGAGATGATCCATAGACATGGACTTAAGGACAATAAATGGCTCCATTCTCTCTATGAGGATAGACAAATGTGGGTTCCTGTATACTTGAAAGATACATTCTTTGCAGGGATGATTCTTATTCAAGAAAGTGAAAGCAAGAGTGCCTTTTTTGATGGTTATGTACATAAACATACGTCTTTCAAAGAATTCGTTGATAAATATGATCTAGTTTTGCATAGGAAGCACTTGAAAGAAGCCATGGCAGAGCTGGAGTCCAGAAATATAAACTGTGAGCTGAAAACAAGATGCAACTTTGAGGTGCAGCTCTCCAAGGTGTATACAAAAGAAATTTTCAAGAGATTCCAGTCTGAGGTTGAGGGGATGTACTCTTGCTTCAACACAAGGCAGGTAAATGTTGACGGCGCAATCATAACATACATAGTGAAAGAACGAGTGGTAAATGGAACTGAAAAGGAGGTTAGAAATTACGAGGTCTTGTATGAGACATCTCAAGTAGATATTCGATGCATATGCAGCTTGTTCAATTACAAAGGTTATCTTTGTCGCCACGCATTGAATGTTCTCAACTATAATGGTGTGGAGGAAATTCCGAGGCAATATATTCTTTCACGTTGGAGCAAGGATTGCAAGAGACAACCACTTGAGATACCTCATGGTTCCAATGATCTTGATGTACATAACCCAGCTTGGTGGCATAACAATCTGTACAGACGTGCCATTCCAATTGTGGAGGAAGGCGCTCGATCCAAAGACCATTATAAGATTACTTTGCACGAATTGGAGGAGTTGTTGAATAAACTTGATCTTGTTGAGGACAACTTAAATGCACCAAAAAATGTTTGAGTTTCCTCCTCAATGTGGTAGTCAGAAATGGAAGAAGAGAAAAAATTAGAAAAGTGGTAACCTTGCTGACCTTGTATGTGTTTTAATCTACTTCCTGCATCTCCTCCATGCTCAATGCACATACAAACGAAACATGAGGCTTAGACAAGAGGGTAAGTAAATTTTTCCTACATTTGTTACTTTTGGTTTGTGATTGCTAGTCAATAATTTCTCCAGGATAGCATTTGAATGCCTTTAGCTGAGTGGCCTATTCTAAACTAGACCTGTAAATTCACAAGATGATGCTTCTTATTGTTCTTGACATAGAACCAATTTGAAGCCTCTTTGAGCAAGCTCAGGTTGTGATTTGATGTTTTTCCACGGTCAAATAGTTTCATTTTTCGATTACAGGGGAGTCACAGTAACCATGGATCCTCTTCTTTGTGATGTTTCCATTTGAAAATTGAAATAGAGTGAACATCATCTTTTCTTTTTGTGCATCTTCTTGACATTGAATAAGATATGAATCCATCAAAACATAGCGACTTTTTCGATCCTTCAATAACTTCATTGCGATGTTTCCACTTGAAATTTGAAATGGAGTGAACATCATCTGTTTTTTTCATTTTTGGTCTTGTGCATCTTCTTGACATTGAAGAAGATACGAATACATGAAAACATAGCAACTTTTTTGCTTGTCTCTAGCAAATCGTGTTTCTTATGAGGTCAGTGGGTATTTCATGAATCTGGTGTTTACCTACTTAAAGTGATTTTCTTTTTAACTTAATGAAAGGAGCCTTTGTGGCTCAATTGGTAGCAATTGTCTTGCAAAGGAGACTTGCTCAATGAACTTAGACAAATTTACTGGTGAACTTATACAGATTATAGATGATGAAGGAGAGGCTAATGAGCAGTTGCGAACTGAACAAGATGACTTGACTTCAGTTCTTGGACTTGCTGAGACATTGTAACAGGCCCCCACATGAATGAATTTGTGAAGTTCTGCATGCTCTGCCTTTCAAGTGGTATCCTGACGAATCTTACCAAGGAAGGATGCTGAAGAGACTGATCGATGGTGCTACCAGCACTTCAGCTAGTAGTCATGAAGTGGAATTGGATATAGTATTTTTTGTTTTATTGGTCTCTGAGAAACAAGAGTTTACAAGACCAGTTCTCGGTATGCCGAGGGAGGTTAATGAACTTGCAAAGGTCGATCGAGCAGCACTTTTTCACCAGTTATGTGCAAGTAAAGAAGAAATGTATGTTTACATGAAGTGAGGAATATCGAGATCTCCAATATGGTTAGAAGAAAAGCTATGTGCCCAAAAACTGAGTGAATCTAGGCAACTGACAACCATCTTAAGGTATCAGTTTCTTGTTAATTCGTTACTTAGATTTGTAATTGCTGTAATGTGGTGTTGATTCTTCATGGCAGTTTTTAGTTTGACAATTTTTGTTTATGACAGTCTGAGATGAAGGCTGAGATGGATAGGTTTGTGCGACAAAGGAAAGAATTATCTGAACAAATTTTGGAAATTACACAGCTCACTGCTGAGAAAAAAGGCTCCTCAAGATCATCTTCATGGTGCTGAGGCACAACTGAAGACTTGTGAAATCGACGAATTGAAGGCATCTATTATTTCTGCCTGTCACTTAACTGATTATTCTAAATCAAGTTCTTTTGCTTGCTTACATGTGCTTTCCTAAAAGTTGCATTTCATATGCAAGGGAGTAAAAGGTTTGGTCTTGTCATGATTTCCCTTTACTGAGATTCAAGAGGTCTTGGATTTGGTTTAGAGATTCTCTCTCTACATCTCTTTCAAGAAGGAAAGCAGTATCTATTGCCAAGCTTTTATCTACAGAACTGTACGGGAATATATTTTTTGGGAGACTGAGGTGCAGATGGATGGACTGGATTTATATTATTTTTTCCTGTCCTTTGTGAAAATGCTAATTGTCGTCTTTCTGACCAAAATATGTTCAATGGAACAGAAAGTAGTAAAGGAAAAAGAATGCTCTCGCGGAAAGGAACAAGAATGCTGAATAGGGGAGGATAATAATCGATGAAGAGATGAAGTGGCTTGCAACAGAGAATGTGGTCAGAGAAGATTCAGCAGTAACTCAAAGATCAGATTGGAAGACTGACCCAAACTGGGGGACAAACTGAAGGAGAAGAGGGAAAAGGAGGATGGAAGCTGAATTGCTGGCCTGCTAGGTCTTTTCCCATCATATCATCACATAGTCAGGCATATGCATTAGTATACATTTGGGTTGTCCTGCTTATCTTTTGTTGCTCAAGAAATTTCAAAATCCGGTTCCACCTGAGTTGGTGCTTCCTCTCTGCAGCAATAAATCCACACCCATGAGACTTCATTCCAGGAAGAAATGTCTACACGCTCCTCGTATAGTGCTATTCTGAGGCACTGTCGATGAAAGAGACGTATACAATCTCACGTGTTCATGAAGAAGGGCTTGGGCATATCCATGCCATACAACAGCTCAAGTGCAGTTCACTGGACTCCCGCGAGTTCCGATGCACTATCACCGGGCAATCATCGCTTGTATCCGACTGCACCTGTGCCAATGGTGCAGGGATGCACCCCAGTAACGGGCTCATTAATGGTGCCTTCCTTCCCTGGTTCAGTCACAATTCACAAGCGACCCCTTCGAGTGACGTGGGGATGCCGCAAGACACGAGAAACTAAACGAGCAGGTATATTTTCTCTCATTTTAATTGAAACGAATATTGTAATTTGAACCGCATTTAGACATTGGTTAATGAAACCGAATGACATAAACATGATAACATGAACAAATTGTCAGCACTAACTGAATACTGTCTTTTCTTAACCCTTCGATGTATTGTTTTAAAAGTAATGACTCCGTATATTAACTCGTGCAACCATCTCTAAATAATAGAAATAAATGACATTTTGATACAAAAGGAAAGATATGTGACAAAAACGATACGGATGAAGGCATACAAAACCAAGACTTGGTCTTCCTCACTGATGTGTGCATGGGACGAGTGATTCCGGGAGCGGGGAATTTTTAGTTGAGTGATAATGGAATGATATGTAAAGGATGAAGGATATGAGAGGTTCACTATCAAAGCATAGAGGCAAAAGTCACCAGCCTATGACAAAGGGCCGGGTAGATGGCAGCTTACCATCAAGCGTAAAGGATTGCTCCATTAGCTAAGGGTAAATAGCTGTTTAGGGCGCGTTTGGCAACTGCTCAAATGGTAACTATTTCTATTTTTTTGTTCCAAGAATTATTTTTGGAGTAGAAATCCGTTTGATAAATTTTTTGTTCCCGGGCATAAATTTGCAAAAATTTGTTTTCAGAATCAGTTTTGGAACAGAATCAAAAAGCAAAAAAAAGTTGCTTTTTTATTCTGGGAATAAGAATTAGATATGGAAAAGAAAATTTTCTTCTTCTTCTTCTTTTTGGTTTTCTTCTTCTTCTTCTTCTTTTTGGTTTTCTTCTTCTTTTCTTCCTGACTTGTGGCCGGCGAGGGCGATAGCTAGACCCTCGCCGCCTGGGTGAGGGCCACCCTCGCTAGATCTGGTAAGGGCGGCTCATGGCTTGGGTGAGGGCTGCCATCGCCGGATTTGACGAGGGCAACCATCGCTTAGGCCATTGAGGGCGGCCCTCGCCGGATCTAGAAAGGGCGGTGGTGAGGGTCTAGCCCTCGCTAGATCTGGCGAGGGCAGCACTTGCCCAAGCCGTGAGCTATCTTCGCCGAGGGCTGCGACGGCGAAGGTCCAGCCCTCTCCAGATCTGGGCGAGGGCCGCGACGCCCTTGTCGGCCTTGGCCTGTGGCCGATCGTCGGCGTCGGCGACCTGGCCATGGCCAAGGAAGGAGAAGAAGAAAAAATAAAGAAAGAAATATTAAAAAATTCAAAATTTTATTAATAAAAAGAAATTTTGTGCAGTTACTAAATGCATTTTTGTTCTTTTTCTATTCCAAAAATATAAATTTTGGGCAGTTACTAAATACCTTCAAATGCTTAGAAATTGTTTCCGGGCACGGAATAAAAAATAATCATTTTTTAACAGAAATTATTTTCAGGAACAGAATGGTTGCCAAATGCACACTTAATCTACCACCAATGACGTTGGATAAAGAATCAGGATAAATATTCACTCAAGTAGAGGAGTTCTCATACATTCATCAAATATGCATTATAATGGAGAACCCTCCTCTATTTGTAGAGAACTAAGATATAGGAAATAGACTAACATTAAAAAGACATGGGAACTACCCAAGTATTAAAGACATGAGAACTAGAAAGCATTATAAGACCCAGTAACTAGATAAAAAAATATCCTCCTCATAAGATCAACAAATATCCAAGGAATGCTCAGAATAGCCTCTCATCGATATGTTATTGATTAGCTTTGAAATCGGTAATTAGTCTGGTGAATCGGTAATTCAATACTTGATCGGCAAGGGAAGAATCGACAACTTAATAATCGATAATCTGGTCGATAGTCTTCGCGTTGACACCTTCATTCTTGACCTACCGAAGCAAGTTGTAACCAAAGTCAGTCTTGACTTAAATGAACATCGATTGTGCTGGGCTAGTCAATGGAATCAAGTTGGAACTTAAGGAATGCTCCGTAGAATCGGATGCTCTCGCATCACTCACCTTCTCCTCCCTTAGATGGTCATAATGGATGAACCATGAGTGTATCGAATGCTGAAGGAAGAGAGGATCATAGTCTATTTATCATGGGTAGACCCATTCATCACAAGTCACTAATAAAATATTAGCTTGTACTGACCGTCTAACCAAATTTTATAACCAAATTGAGATGTATTAAACCTGATATAGCCGCATAATCAAACTTGGGTTATCAAGCATTGTCTCATGTGTTATTTACTTTAGAAAATATTGTTTTTCACAAATTTAAATACTATATGGCTAATGTTAGTCCACCTTTCTAAGAATTTCCAACAAAATGTTCTATAGCCTTTGAATTTTAAGGTGCTGATTTGTCAAACTCTCGAGAGGGTAAATTAATACAGTTTACCGTCAAATCGTTCATTTTCTATGGTTGGTGACCCCAGTTGTTGTTCCGCGAGTCATCTTGTCACTCGAATCCGCCTGATTTTAGACACGCATGATACATGAATCTAAAACAAAGAAAAATTGTCCAATTGCAAGTAAATAAAAGGATGGGGCAATTAGCGTCGGCAATCTTTCTGTGTGTTATATGGGAGTTCCATAGCCGTGACAGAATTCTCTATTTGAGCCATACCTACTACTCATTTGAGCGAGCCTGTCACTGCCACTCACCACGGTGTTAATGGGAGCAGAGCCGGGATTATCCTACGTCATGGCACGATCGAAACCAAGCGCCTCTTCTTTAGCTGCTAATGAAAAACAGAAGCGACAATCTCAATGTGGGCGGTCCAAGCATAGGAGTGAATCTTATTTGAAGGTCCAGTCCTCGATTGGCCCAGCTCTCCATTGTAATCTCTCTAAGCATGTGAAATCGATTAAGTCTATCTGTTTCCTTCCCATTGTATCCACAAGGTCCTTCGGTCCCTTCTCAAAACTTATGACTTATTTAATAAAACTAAAAATTAAGTGCTCAGAGTTTGAGTATCTAATTATTGTTGCAGGCATAAAGTGCTGAAATTGAAAGGAAATGTTTGATAACAGTCTTAAAATCTAATGCCATGCATATATAATTGTGGATCCTCTAATTTGCATTGGATATTTCTCTGTTGAAAAAATCAACTAATATCCGAGTCAAATAGCAATGATTCGAAGCACTTCTTTTTATTTTTACACTATTTCGGAAACCCAAGGACTCAATCGTATGGATATGGAAAATACAGGATTTCCAATCCTAGCAGGAAAGGGAGGGAAACGGATACTCAATTTCAAGTGAGTAAACAGAATTCCATACTCGATCTCATGGATACATATCGAATTCTGTGGAAAGCCGTATTCGATGAAAGTCGTATGTACGGCTTGGAGGGAGATCTTTCTTTCATATCTTTCGAGATCCACCCTACAATATGGGGTCAAAAAGCCAAAATAAATGATTTCTTTACTTCACCTTTTATAAGTGAACTCTGGACTTAATTAAGGGTACGTATGGTTCAGCTTTCCCAAGAGTTTTGGCCTCGAAAGTCCCTTGGGGAAATGCTCGGTGTTTGTCAAGCCTTGCCAAGAGGCTTTCAGCCACATGTTGGCTTTGGGAAAGTTGAAAGCCCAATGCTAGTCCCTACTAGCATTTGGCTAAATGCTTAAACTAGTTTTTTTTCTTCCAAAACTACCCTCACAAATTCTATAATTTTTCGATTTTCCCCCTCGTTGCTACTATTCATCTTTTTTGCTCGAGGACAGCCGGCAAGGGTCGAGGCTAGATCGGGCCGGCAAGAGGCTCGCAAGGGGCTGGCGAGATCGCCCCACCTAGGCAATCGTTGCCATGGCGGTCGCGCGACCTTGGCGAAGGCTACCTGGGGTTGCACGACCTCAGCCCTTTGCTAAGAAAAGAAAAATTAAAGCCAAAAGCCCTTTGCAACAAAATTTTTTGCCAAACATTAGTTAGGCCAAAGTAGCTTTATAAATGATTTTTTTTATCAAATACAATTTGCATTTCCTCAAGAGGCTTTAGGCCAAAGGTATTTAAATTTCCCCAATGCCCATTTGCAAGGTCCAACCAAACGCAACCTAAGTATTTTAAGTCCAAACTAGTTAGAATTATCAAACGATCTTAATCTTGATTTAAGCGTTGCAAACAAGTCATAAATGATTTCTTCATAACTCGAGGACACAGACATTTAGTCTCAACTATCTGATGCTCATGAAACACCTCGCTCGCCCACGAATTAATTAAATTCAGGTGTTTTGTTTAGGTGCAATTGATGGAATTTGAGTGAGTGACTTTAAATTTGGCAGCTAAAATAGTTCAATCATTGGGGTATTCATTGTAATCGTTGCAGCTATTCGGAAAGGAAATTGCATAGGTAAGTGACTAACCAAAATTTGCAAGTACTCTCTTCAAAATGGTACTCTGTTTAGATTGATAGTACAGTACAAGTAAAGGCCCTCACATATTTGCTGTGTTTGGTAAGGCTTTTGGGGAAAGTCTTTGGGAAATGCAAAACACTTTAGGTGAAAGCGATTTTTCTTAATGCAAATAGTATTTGGTATAGTGTAATTTAAAAGTGCATTAGGAAGCAACTTTAGTTAAAATGCTCTTTGGAAAAAACCACACCTATAAAGGACTTTCGCTATCTAAAAGGAAAAACCTCAAACCTTCGTCAGTGGAGTCAGGTCGTCAGCTAGCCTTGCCCGAGGTTGCTGA